CCCACCCCTTGAATACTGCATGCAGGTCTTTTTGCCCCATCTCAAAAAATATATTTAGAATTCTAAAAGGTACAGACCAGGGCAACAAAAATGATCGGGGTATGGAACAGCTTCCATATGAGGAAAGATTCAAAAGACTGGGACTGTTCAGTTTAGAAAGAGATGACTAAGGGGCGGTATGATAGAGGTCTACAATATCATGAGTGGTGTCAAGAAAGTGAGTAGGGAAGTGTTATTTACCCCTTAACATAACACAAGAACCAGGGGTCACCCAATGAAATTAATAGGCAGCAGGTTTAAAACTAACATAAGGAAGTACTTCTTCACACCACTCATAGTCAACCTGTGGAACTCACTGTCAGGAGATGTTATGAAGGCTAAAAGTATAACTGGGTACAAAAGGAATTAGATAAGTTCATGGAAGACAGGTCCACCACTGGCTATTAGCCAATATGGTCAGGGACACAACCCCATGTGCTGGGTGTCCCTAAACCTCTGATTGCCAGAAGCTGGGACTGGATGACAGGGGGTGGATCACTAGATTATCTGCCCTGTTCTGTTCATTCCCTCTGAAGCATCTGGCACTGTCTACAGTGAGACGACAGGACACTGGGCTTGTCTGGACCATTGGTCAGAGCCAGTATGGCCATTCTTTTGTTCTTATCTATACAAAAGTCAAGAGAACATGGAATTCTGGCCTTAAAACAAGGAATTTCCCTCATTTTTGCCTGAATCCTTTTTTCCCATGTTAGGTAAAAATATAAATGTTATCATTTAAAACTATATTCCCTTTAGACTTCTAAACTTAATTCATACTTCTTTCACAATCAATTATTGATCTTAAATTAGCAAAGATTTTTCCAGGTAAAAATAGGGAATCCACAATAGGAATAAAAGAGGATTTGGTGGTAATATGTGAAATATAGAAATAGAAAAGTGCATTCAGTGAACCAGAAATATCATATAGCTTGATTCCATAGTGTCTGGATTTCTAAGATATGTCCATTACATAATTTTGAAGAACTGTCCCAGGGTCTTATGGTTATTCTGTTTCATATAACATTATCTTTAATCAGAAACTCGTATTAGTGATTTCATGCTCTTGACTTGTGTTTGTGATTCAAGCAATTTGTTATAGAAATCTTTGTGAGATTTATCAACAGATTCAATAACTTGTTCTAAGTTAGTCATTCTAAGAGAAATGGTATCTAATATATCTTGCAGAAAACGAATTGCAGTGAATCTGGGACCAAATTCTCCTCTCACTCACACTGGTCTTACAGTGGTTTATCTCCACTGAGTGTTATGGAATTTCTCCTGATTTTTATTATGCTCATATAAATTTGTTAGTCTCTAAGGTGCCACAAGTCCTTCTTTTTATTTTTCTTTGTATCTCCAAAGAAAATTTGCTTCCATTTGGAGAAAACAATGGCCCAGTCTAATTCCCACTGAAATCAACAGAAAGACTCCCACTGACATCAATGGGACTTCAACTGGGCTCATATTCAGGTGGAAGAAATGGAGTCAGAGAGTTAATCTTGAATGCCTGTGTTGGCAAAAACTTAACAATACCTAGGGAGAAACAAGGAAAGCCATTATTAAAAACACCCAAAGAAGGGTGTGCTGCATCCAGTTTCTAACTGTCAGAGGAGTGAAGTTTTGGAACAGCCTTCCAAGGGAAGCAGTTAGGGCAAAAGACCTATCTGGCTTTAAGATTAAACTCGATAAGTTTATGGAGGAGATGGTATGATGGGATAATATCATTTTGGCAATTAATTGATCTCTAAATATTTATGGTAAATAGGCCAAATGGCCTGTGATGGGATGTTAGATGGGGTGGGAACTGAGTTATAGTTACAGAAAATTCTTTCCTGGGTATCTGGCTGGTGAATCTTGCCCATATGTTCAGGGTTCAGCTGATCGCCGTATTTGGGGTCGGGAAGGAATTTTCCTCCAGGGCAGATTGGAAGAGGCCCTGGAGGTTTTTTGCCTTCCTCTGTAGAATGGGGCACAGTTCACTTCCTGGAGGAGTCTCTGCTCCTTGAAGTCTTTCAACCATGATTTGAGGACTTCAATAGCTCAGACATAGGTGAGGTTTATCACAGGAGTGGGTGGGTGAGATTCTGTGGCCTGCATTTTGCAGGAGGTCAGACTAGATGATCATTAAGGTCAGAAGGGACCATTATATCTATGAATCTATGAAAACCCAAAAATGACAGAAAATCCTAATAAGCAGAAACTCTGCATCAGCATCATACAGCAACAATAAACTAGATTCGTTCAATATAATGTATTAGGCTATGCTGAGCTAAAGCTCAATATCTCAACAATTCAAAACAAAAAGAAAGAAATCCAATCCCAAACAGGTAAACAGACAGTAGTGCAGCATCCAGAGACCCGACAGCAACATTAGAAAAAGACAAGTGTGGGAAGGGATTATTCCACTCCCCATCCCTTCCCATTTGCATCATAGTGAGTGGAGTCACACCTGGAGAGACTTCCTGGGTCTCACCTGCAGCAGTTTTTAAGGTGGCCTGGTTAACTAAGGCTCAGATTTTTAAAGATATTTAAATCCTGATATGCATTGCAAAGCCTAACAGATTCAGGAGCCTAAATCTCATTTTCAAAAGAGATTTAGGCTTGTAGGAGCCTGAATCCCATTGATTATCAATGAGATTTTGGCTCCTAAGTGCCTAAATCACCTTTGAAAATCAGACATAGGCTCCTAAATCAGTTCGGGATTGTAATGCTGATTGTAGAAACTCCTAAAAATCTGAGCCTTATTTTTAATTTTTTTGGTGGTAGTATAAAGGACTATGTATTTTTAAAATCAATCAGTGTCATGTGGACTTTAAAAAGGCATCTGATAGCTTTAATTTGGACATTGGAAATTCTCTCTACATTGTTATAAAATATATTTTGTCAATGTATAGAAAGAGGTTTTAATATTAGACGTGACACTTGCAGATAGCTTTATATGAATGGACCCCACCCTGCAAAGGAATTAAAGCAGGTGAATTCTGATGCTGATTTAGTGGTATAGATCTTCCTGTACAGATCCCTTGGCAGAACCTGAATTTAGTAAATAAATATAATAAACCAAGGGCCAAATACTGAGTCAGTGTGAACTGGTGTAGCTCCACTGATTTCCATGCAGCTGTGCTGATTTACAGCAGCTGAGCCTGACCCAAATTATTGAATAGAAATATATCAGCGCTGTCAGAGCAAACAATTTTTTCCTAACCCTTTAGAAACTTTGAGCCTGGGTCCCATTTCCTCTTGATCATGTATGTCCACACCAGTTTAAAATAATTAATCATGATTTTACACTGTTTGTAAAACAGATGTAAGTGAGGGTAACTCCAACTACTCTTGATTAAGATAGGTGCAACTAACTGCTTGATCCTACTTCCACTCTAGCCAGAGGAATGACTCCCTTTGACTTCAGTGGGATCAGGACTGGGCCCTAAGTGAGAGAATAATTTGCCGGTTGGTTCCAGTCTGGAAGTCCTTGCTCAGTGGGATTTTTCCAATATCAGGTTCATCATTATTATTCATTTGACAGGCTGCTTGCATGGACGTTTTCAGATTGCTTTTTGGGTGAGCACAGCAATATAGCACTGAACCCTTTGTTTCAGAGTAACAACCGTGTTAGTCTGTATCCGCAAAAAGAAAAGGAGTACTTGTGGCACCTTAGAGACTAACAAATTTATTTGAGCATGAGCTTTCGTGAGCTACAGCTCACTTCATCAGATGCATCCGATGAAGTGAGCTGTAGCTCACGAAAGCTTATGCTCAAATAAATTTGTTAGTCTCTAAGGTGCCACTTGAACCCTTTGTGTTATTATACATCAAGGACCTAATCCAAAGCCCACTGAAACCAATGGGAGTCTTTCCATTGACTGCAATGGACAATGAATTGGGCATATGTGAGAAATATTAAGATGGTGCAGCAGGAAAAGCAACTAAGAAGAAGGACTAAGGTAAACTAGTGTGTGGGCCCCATGCCGAACCACCCCAGCCCCTTTACTTGCACTGTCTGATTAACTGCCTTCCCTGTTACACTCCCCTTTCATTCTCTAAGAATAATGTACAGTCATTCTGTACACTCACTGAATGCCAGACTGTTGAAAATTTCACTACTTTACCATTTACATTGGTTTCCTGATTGACTTACACTTCATAGACAAATTAACACCACCATATATTGTAAGCCATTGACCCTGTCTCAAAGTGTCTGTGGATAAAATATAAAAACACTATAAAGAAAGGGGAAAAAATCAAGTGAAATTGCTGCTTTTAACAGTGCATGCCATTGCTACGTTGGTGATTTAAAGCTGCTGCTCTTGCTACCATCAAAATCTGTTTAATTTAGCCAACCAAATAAACAAACATTTATTTTGTTGCCTCAAAATATTGGTACCGTTATTAATACTAGAGGAATGCATAGGGGTCAGTCAGTAATGGGGCCGCATTGTGCTAGGTATTGTACGAAGAGTGATAGTCCCTACCCCAAAGAGTTTATGATCTATATCTAGATAGATATGGTATTTATATGAGACAATAGCACTTTCCTATCCCCATTTTACAGAGGAAGAACTGAGACACAGAGAAAGTAAAGGACTTGCAGTAGGTCATATATGAAGTCTGTGGCGGAGCAGGGACTTGAACCCAAGTCTCCCAAGACCTAGGCTAGTACCCTAACTACTGGACCATCCTTTCTCTCTAAAGTTAACTAGACAAGACAGATCAAGGGTGGATGTGGAGACAGAGGTTCAATGTGTAGCCCAAACTCAGAAGATCTGTGGTACAGCCAGGATTCAGGTCTCTTGACTTCCAGTCCAGAGCCTTACTAGACCACACTCACAACAAACTGAACTAGTATTATCCTAGTTCTGTAACATTTCCCATACGAAACTCAAAATTATGGGATTTAACCTTGGAAATAAAGTCTGTCAGTCAAAGGGAAATGGTTGGTTAATTAGGTATAGAAGCCTTACCTGGACGAGATAGTGAGAACATAAACTGAGGAGCTCCAACAGCTGCAGGTGACTACCAGCTGCTAGCACATCCTGGATTACTCCTGGCTCCAACAAAATCTGTATGTAAAAAGAAAAAATGAATATCTGTTGTAAAGAACTATATTAAGCATAGGGAAAATATGGAAATAAAGGAAGCCAACATTTTAAGACTTTATAACTTTTAGACTCTAAAGGCAATAGGACTTCTCATGTGAATAAAATTAAGTATATATCTAAGTGTTTGAAGGTTTGGGGCTGTAGTTTAAAAAAATTCAGTGAGAATATTCAGGGGGATATTTAGTCAGTGAAACACAGACACTTAAATTGTCTTAAGTCTTTATCTTAAATTGTTCTTAAAGAGGCTTTTGATGACTCTCTACTGTGAAAGGCATATTATTTATTGAATACACCATTTTTTTTGCAAAGCCACAAAATCACCTTAAAAAGCAGAATATAACAATACAATAATACAGTTTAATCATCATAGTAAGAAAAATGATACATTTGAAGTCTTGTTCTAATTGATACAGGAAACCCACACTGCTTCTCTCCTGAGGGAGGGAATTCTACCCCAAGCAAATCATGTAGACAAAGAGGGAATATCTACATGGATATAAATGGAGAAATGAGAGACAAATCAGACAAAGAATGGAGAGTGGCTGAAGGCATATGGAATAGCAGTTAGGGACGTGAATAGGGCAGGACTCCCAGTCCCAAATTTGTCTTCCCTGCTGTCTCTGGGGACTTTATTGACATTGGGCACAGTGGGGAAACAGCTGGATCCTGCTGTGTCTCTGGGTGGAGAGGGTTGTACTGGTTCCCCTGAACTCTGCTGCCCTCTATCAAAAAACTTCCCCTTCAAAATCTGTAAAATCACTACTTTATCCTTTTTTAAATCCTCAGGCCAGCCTTTCTCAGAGTGGTGTGATCATTGTGGATAGAAGTCAGTTACATTTAGGGAGCAGAAAGCTGTTTGCCAATCACACACAAAAATGTGAAGGCGGGCTCTGCCAGTTAGAATTCTCAGCCTTTCCTGAACCCAGGACTAAGCTGGTTGTTCAGTCAGGTGCTGCTTTGCAGATGCAACTGCCATTGCCACATGTGCAACAGCGGCTGCAAGAGGGAATTCCATCTTGTGTCTTCCACCAGGCCTGTTAGGAGTGCCTGGTGGAAGCATCATCCAGTCGCTGCACTTCTCCCGGATACTGGGCCATTCCAACAATGCATGAGGAAGAAGAGGAGGAGAAGGGACAGGGCCAAGGTGCTGCTGCTGCATTCGGTGAAAGTCCTCCAGCCACTCTCCGCAACACTGCCTGCCTGTAGAGTATGAAGAGCCAGTAGGAGAGAACCTGGAGATGTCTCTCCCACATCCACCATCGCCATCACCTCCCCACTCTTCTACTAGACCCTTCATACCAGATAGGAAATGCTGCCAGCAGTCATGGCATAAACACCCACCTCAAGAATTAAAGGGGACCTGTTCCCAAACCACAAACCAGCCCATCATTAGAGGGATTCACCCAATCAATTACAGTCAGAGGTTTCAGGAAACCCACCTGACAGCCCTGCTGCTGCTGCATTGTGGAACAACTTCCAGATAGACAAGGCATCTAGAGGATTTTTCATATGGTGCTGGTAAGGGGGAAAATATGGTGGAAAGAGAGGAGTGGAGACAAAAGGATTAATGGATGTGTACTGTCACAATTGACAGGGTTCTCGGGGGTGGATGTGGGGAGAAGAGCGTGGAATTAGTGGATGGGAGTTGGGGAGTATTTTACTTTGGGAATATCATGTGTAATCACCAGCTATTATGGAAATATTTTGAGGGAGCCCTTTATCAAAATTTTGTCAGTGTATTGATAAGAATTGATGCCTTCCTAGTGTATTAAGGGAAATTTTAGGCAGCATATTTCATTTTTGTTTGCTTGTTTGTAATCGAAAAATTACAGGAAAAAGCACACCCAGCTAAAATCTAACTGTTCTAAACTTTATTGAATTCAGATGCAGAAAACTACATATAATACAATTTATTTTTGCAAAACCTTGTCCTTACAGAAGTATCACAGAAGACTCTACTATTAAGTGCTATAATAAACTATGTGCTACAGATTGCAATTAGTATGTGCAATATTCTTTGTCTCTCCTTGCATAAGACTGTTCATTGTAAGTTTTACTTCTGACATTTCTTATTAATATGGCTGAGAAAAACAGGGGTTAATTTGGATCTAAAGAAAGCTAACTGTGGTTACAAAATATGTTATTTTTCTAAATTACAGAATTGCACAAAAATAGTTTAATCATAGCTATGGATGAATAAAGCTAATAGAATGAACAGGTTATACTCCATAATTAAACATAGCAATAAATAATATTTATTTAGAGTTTTTTATACCTACACATGGAGACCCATTCCATTCTCTGTATATCCCTGCCAATATTTAAAACATAATAATCAATAAGTACACAATGAACTGTTATAAGCCATTACCCACCTCCATACAATCGTAAGTCAACCCCAACACATTACCATAATAAACAAATCCACCCCCATTCCATCCCTTCCTCAGATACCTGCCAAAATAAAATAAAAAACAGGAGCACTTTGCAATGTGAGTGGAATGTTACAAATCCAACATACCTAGAATTTATATAGCATTCATTTTCAAAGCACTTTAAACACATTATCAAACACTTCGTATTATCTCCATTTTATGGATGGGGAAACAGAAGCACAGAGTCAAAGTGCCACTGAGAGAGTGTCAGAAAAGGGATGAGAAACCAAGGACCTGATTATCCTATCTGTTGCTCACATAAAACTCCCATTGATTTCATTGAGAAGTTGGCTCGATGCAACTGACAGAATTGTATGGCCTCAGTTGAGAGCTCCCACTCTTGTGGTCAAATCATTAGACCACGTCTCCCTCAGGAGACCAGAAAATCTTAGTATTTGTACATAAGAGTTATTGGGGAATCTCATTTTTCAGGAATCACATTACAAATTACCAAAACTAATATTACTCCTGGAAGAACGGTGCATGGGCCCTCAAATAATCAACAGCAGACAACAGATACCACATTTCTTGAATGTTTTTATTTCATTTGGCATTCATCCTTGTAACTCATTTTCCCTGGGACCTAGAATTGACAAATTATTCCCTTTGCAGTTTTAGCTTTGCACCACAAGGGGCCACTCTATGACTACTGTGCAGGAAGCTAAAGCCTTTTTATTCTTCAATACATCCTGCTAGCTGTCCCTGCAGTTCTGTCTTTGGACCTACCACTGAAATGCAGCGAGAAGCAAAAAAGCAGGAGGGGAGACACTGGAGGCAGTCACATTTCCCCTGACAGGGACAGAAGAAAGTACCAATCCTCAGCAGTAACATTAATTGCACTTTCATCCATAGTATACTGTAAAAACTGGAGGTAAGGGGCTTGATTCTTGTTTACAACAAGGCCCTTTTACACCGCTTTGGCAGAGTAACTGATCCTTCAAGTGGGTGTAAATCACATATATTCTCACTTAAAGGAGCCTTTACCCTATCAGAATGTAAAGTGGCCTTAGTGTAAGGAAGAATAAGGCCCAATCTGTTCCAGGTTTTTAGTTGATGCTAATTAGATTTCCACTCATGATGGTATGTGGCACAAGGAAAAGTTGGAGAGAGCTTTAGTTACAAGAATCTTTCAGTTGTTAGGTATATTCAAAATATAGGTTCTATAGCACTTGTCAAATTTGTTCTAATGAAAAATTGTCAGACTGCCATACAAATCATTCCATTCTTTAGGGTCTCAGGGATGTAGACCTTGCAATGTTTATTATTCAACCCTGGTTTAAACTGAATGAGTCCTGTCATCTGTGCTGATGTCACATTATTTGTTACATGCCAGCCATGTGCTTGATGCTGTAAAAGGCTCAAAATAAAGAGAATCTGTGCCCCAAATAGATTATAATCTTGCGGACAAAGATACATTTGTACTTGTGGTTCCTCTGATGCATGAATATGTTGTAAAATTGTATCAATCCATTTTATAGCATCATGTAGGTAGCATTTGTAGATGTGTTAGGACTGGGTTAAATGAGTTAAAATTTAAAGATGATCTGTAAAAAGCCAGTGACATAATTTTATAATTAGGTGACTGATACTCTCCAGAACAGCATAAAGGTTTTAAAAATATCCCGTTTAGCATAACTGTTTTTGCCAGGTTTTAGCAGACAAATTTCTCAGTGCTTACAAGCTTCCCACACCATGTAATAATTCACCAGGAACTCTACTAAGATAAGAGATCACTATTGAAGACCAGAGACTGCCAACAGAACTAAGAGGGGTCTGGCTTATTCCAATACTGCACCCTAAACAAATTGTTCTGCATTCTTATTTTATACTCATTTAGAGATATGTTAAAATATTAAATAACCTATGCTGGATGTGACAACACCAGGAGACTGGATGCTGGGGTGTCACAACAGAAAGAAGGACAATCTACAAAGAAGAGGAAAAATGCCTTCAGATAAATTGAAGAGTGTGCTGAAAAGCCCTCCTCACCCTTTTCACTTGGGGCAGTCAGCACTTCATGCCAAAGTTCCAGACCTATTAAAAAATGTTAATGGGTCACTTTCAAGGGTCTTCTGTAGACTGTTTTCCTGGCTCCCTGAGGTGCTATTAAACCTGAAATAACATTAGCGGTTTATGTCTAGCTGACTCTTCAGCAGTAAATGCTTATAGTACACCTACCACACATACAAATATACATGTGTGTGCAGTGGGTGTAATTCTCCTCTCACTTACATTGCTGTAAACCACGAATAGTTCTACTGAAGTCAATGGAGTTATTACTGGTTTTGCACTAGTGTCTTTGATTGAATTCACACCCACAAAACTAATTAAAATATTACACTGAAAACTAAAAAGTGAACAATTTAAAAAAAAAACAGGATTATGAGGCATAATTAAACATAGCAGGGCAGAACCTCAGCTGATGTAAACTGGCAGAATTTCCATTGACTAATTTACACCAGTTGAGGATCTGGCCCTACGTGCATCACAAGAAGATAGTATTTGTGTACCTTTGTTTGCAGTGTT